TTTTTGCTTTTAGTCTTTTGGCTTTTCTAAACATTCAAAGCCTTTAAGTTATTTATTTTTCTATTAAAAAGTATTTTTCGAAATGTACTTTCCATGCTGCCGTCTTAGGGCGACCCGAGTGAGGGTCATCTTTGGCAGATATTCATCTATGTTTAAATTCGGCGCACCGACGCGGCACCTGTATTATATGGCAGATTTACTCCAATTATGAAATGTGCCATAAATCTTGATTTAAAATTTTCAAGCACATATTCTTAAGAGGATATCCGCACTGCAATAAATTTGAAGAATAGTTTTTTATTTTATTTTAAACAATCAATTTTTAAACTTGGCATTTAATTAGCACTTAAAAAGAGCTCCTAATTTTGGCTTTTTATAAATGCAAATTCATGAGTACGTTGCAGGCAATATACAACTAAAGTTAGCTAGCGTTTGTTAAAACAAATTTTAACAAACGTTTGTTAAAACGGAAAGCATAACGCTGTTTTAACGCTTTAGCCGCGAATGTACGTTATGCTTTCCGTGATAAAACTGTTACTGTGCACCATCATGGCGCACGCGCTTTGAATATTCAACCAACTGGAGAGGCCATGCGTGTTAATTCCTAAACTAAAAGTCTGTCAATTTCAGGGGGGCGCAAGAAAAACACACTACTGTATACTTCACTAAAGATGCAAAATTGAATCGTATCACTGTAAACGCACACTACAGCATTTACGTTTGTGTTCATTGCATTTACGCATACCATCAAATTGTACACGTGACGATGCACTGGTGCGCTGTTACGTGCGTAAGAGACGTAGAGTGATGACTATGTCGATATTTTTATCGATAAACAATTCATCATAGTACGGCTTAAGTTCAGCGTTGGTAAAAGAGATTTTTAGTGTTTTTCGCCCTACACTTCTGTACACCGGTACGAGGTTGCCTTTTTGTCAAGAACCGACAATCGATGGTAAATCGGTTGTCGGTTCTTCGAGCTATATAGCTGGCCCATTGCTACTTCAGCTTACTAATCCATTGGGCTTGTGGCGTCATTAATCTGAAAAATAAAAATAAACAATTAAAATAATATACAAAATTAAATAAGTAATATAAAACTTACCTTGAAGTCGTGTCGTATCGTCGCAGAAATCGTGATCAAGTCGTTGAGTAGTAAAGACGCCCCGATAATGCATCGAACAAAAGATTGAGGACATCGAAGCGGCGCACCCGCCACGCAGTTAGTAAGAATATATTACTGTGACGGTAAGACGTATGACGCTTGCGCCCGGCTGTTGTTTGTATTTGCTACTTGCTTTGAACTGTTTCTTCCTTCTTGTGCTAATAACTTCTGTGCTACGCTTTGTGCTAAATTATAAACAGTATTTTATATGTGAACTATTGTATACGTGAATTATTGTAGCTGTGAACTATAGCATAGGTGAATTATTTAATTGTGTGAACTGTTCTGCTTACAATAAATTTTGTAGAAAGTGATTGGTGAGTAATTTATTAAGAATCTCCCCACATCACTTCAGGCTATGTCGGTCACTCTGGTTCTACTGCGGATATCCTTATTTCTAAGTTCATGCTCATCACGCAGAAAACCCCGAGCACAGCCGTCTCCGTAGCTCGCCGAGCTTCCTCATACGGCCAGAAATTAAGGGTATTTTAGTGTAACATAAAATTATGATTTAATTAGTTAAAAGAATTATGGCCAGTTTTTGAAAGACTGATCAAACTCAGATTTTAATTCAAATTTTATCAAAAATTTGGCCATGGGTAGTTTCCACGTTATGTTTATACCGACCAATAAAAACACTAATACGTCAGTTGCTTCATCTTAATTGTCGGATATAATATCAAACCCGTAGTCCATAATACCTTTGGCTGCTAGCATGGTATTCCGTCAATTGCTTAATTTTCATTTCATCCATGACAAGGCACAGTATTTTTTTATCAGGGTTACTCTCCGCTCTCAATTTTAATGTCGTCAGCGCTTCTTGAGTAACGTAAACGCCCTGGTCGGCCATTGATGGTACGTGTGCTACGCGGCACTTTATAAAACAAGGTATTTTTTTTGTCCCTGCGGTCTTTCCCTAGCACTTTTATTTGTGAGTTGCGAGAATATAGTTTCTTTTGTTATTATTTTATCTGAATATTAAATTTTATGAAGTTATTGCCAGATAAAACTGATCCAAACAGGGCTAAGATCGCTGTAGGCCGAGATCCGATGTTTCTAAGTATGTTTATTTAAGTAAAAAATTGTTATTAAATTGACCATTTATTTTTTTCCTGAGAGCGGGACACCTATAAAATTATTAAGGTTTTAACACTTTTGACTGCCTTCTTGGTCTAATGGTTGTAAACGCAATTGATGATCAGTTTAGTCACTTAACATCAGGTGAACCGTATGCTCGTTTGCCTCTCTTCTAAAATAAAATGTGGTCCCGGGTTCGAAACCCCAGCCGGGCCAAGAATCATTTATTGGGTTTTTCTGTCACAAAAAATTCTCAGTAGCAGCCCGGAATATTTATTTCGAACTTATTGAAGTTGGCGGGGTTTCACCACCGTGCCTCCGGAAGCACGGAAACCCGTTGGTCCTGCGCCTGATCTGTCTGCCGTAGTCTCGCATTACCATTCCATCGGACTGTAAGAGTGAGGGAGTAGGGTAGACCCGTGCTTGCGCATACACTTGAGTAATATAATCCTGTGTTGCGCAGATAGCTATTCTCCGTTGAGAATGACCCCCGTTACCAAAATTCAATCTGGAGCCCTTTATTATAGTTTTAAAAATAAAACACAGTTGTTTGAATCTTTTAATGATCAAAAGTGCGAATGAGAACTTAGAATCATATAAAATTTGGCTGCTGGCTTTGTAATTTTTTCTGAACAAAAAATAAATACTAATTAGAAAAAACTTACGTTATTTGATAATTTATTGCAGATTAATTAAAAATTTTCACTTCGTAACTAGTTCAAAAGTGTAGATTTTGAGAATAATCACGTAACTAGTCAGGCCATGCCGGCAAACCGGGTACGCGCGGTGTCATAATTATGGCACGGGTGACAGAGTTTGCATGATGCTACGCTTTTGTTTGTCAAAGCGGGATACTATGTGTGGGATTAGAACCCGTGGTCGTGCAGTGCCGCTGGGCTTCTTGCATCGCCGCGAATGTACTTTAGTGTGAATAAGTAGGCTCAAACGGGGTAGGACCATGCTCTTAAAGAATATTAGCGTAAAATAACAGCTAAATGCTGCTGTTTCATATGGTGAGTGTAAAGAACCGGAGACGCCTCTTAATGGAAACGAGGCATTTCATCTTCCAAGGTGTATACTACGTGTGGGATTAGAACCCGTGGCCGCGCAGTGCCGCTGGGCTTCTTGCATCGCCGCGAATGTACTTTAGTATGAATAAGTAGGCTCAAACGGAGTAGGACCATGCTCTTAAAGAATATTAGCGTAAAATAACAGCTAAATGCTGCTGTTTCATATGGTGAGTGTAAAGAACCGGAGACGCCTCTTAATGGAAACGAGGCATTTCATCTTCCAAGGTGTATACTACGTGTGGGATTAGAACCCGTGGCCGCGCAGTGCCGCTGGGCTTCTTGCATCACCCCGAATGTACTGTTGTGTGAATAAGTAGGCCAAACGGGGTAGGACCATGCTCTTAAAGAATATCAGCGTAAAATAACAGCTAAATGCTGCTATTACATATGGTGAGTGTAAAGAACCAGAGACGCCTCTTAATGGAAACGAGGCATTTCATCTTCCAAGGTGTATACTACGTGTGGGATTAGAACCCGTGGCCGCGCAGTGCCGCTGGGCTTCTTGCATCGCCGCGAATGTACTGTAGCGTGAATAAGTCGGCTCAAACGGGGTAGGACCATGCTCTTAAAGAATATCAGCGTAAAATAACAGCTAAATGCTGCTGTTACATATGGTGAGTGCAAAGAACCAGAGACGCCTCTTAATGGAAACGAGGCATTTCATCTTCCAAGGTGTATACTACGTGTGGGATTAGAACCCGTGGCCGTGCAGTGCCGCTGGGCTTCTTGCATCGCCGCGAATGTACTGTAGCGTGAATAAGTCGGCTCAAACGGGGTAGGACCATGCTCTTAAAGAATATCAGCGTAAAACAACAGCTAAATGCTGCTGTTTCATATGGTGAGTGTAAAGAACCGGAGACGCCTCTTAATGGAAACGAGGCATTTCATCTTCCAAGGTGTATACTACGTGTGGGATTAGAACCCGTGGCCGTGCAGTGCCGCTGGGCTTCTTGCATCGCCGCGAATGTACTGTAGCGTGAATAAGTCGGCTCAAACGGGGTAGGACCATGCTCTTAAAGAATAACAGCGTAAAACAACAGCTAAATGCTGCTGTTTCATATGGTGAGTGCAAAGAACCGGAGTTGCCTCTTAATGGAAACGAGGCATTTAATCTTCCAAGGTGTATACTATGTGTGGGATTAGAACCCGTGGCCGTGCTGTGCTTCTTGCATCGCCGCGAATGTACTGTAGCGTGAATAAGTCGGCTCAAACGGGGTAGGACCATGCTCTTAAAGAATATCAGCGTAAAATAACAGCTAAATGCTGCTGTTTCATATGGTGAGTGTAAAGAACCGGAGACGCCTCGTAATGGAAACGAGGTATTCCATCTTAGTCCTTAGGTGCGATAGAGCATGTTCATTTTTGTTCATAATTGAGTGTAGATGTAGACATCTATGGGCCACAGCCGTCGGTCCGTCCTCGGTTTTACTTAGAGACCCTAGGTGCTACAAGCCTGTAATTTAGCATAGCTACAGTGCCGTCTTTAAGGCAGGGCCCGCAGGGCCCCGGCCCGAGGCCCCGAGGCAGGCAGGGGCCCCACAATTCTGAAAATTTTCGATATACAACAACAAATTTTATAACATAATAAGAAAAATATCAAATCACACACTTGGTAAAATAGAAACAAGATTTAGAAAATTTGTTTAAAAATTTATTTTTGCACTAAAATAACAGTAATTATATACAGCTTAAAAAACTTTTTTTCTCGATTTCTTCGCAGCAAAATTAGATATGAGTTCATCAAAATCAATCGATTTTAATAAGTCCGATTCTATACTCATTAAACTTAGATGATTCAATCGTGACTGTGACATTGTGCTTCGATGATCGGATTTTATCAACTTTAATCTAGAAAATGATCGTTCACCAGCACAATTGGTGATCATTAGGGTAAGGAATATTCGGAGACTTATTTCAATATTTGGGAATGTAGACGTCAGAAATTCTTTCTTCAGTTGCAAGTATAGATCAGGAATAAATAATTCTTCGTTCTTTCGTGTATCACGAAGATAATGTTTATAATGTAAACATTCTGATATTAAATTTTCTGCAGAAATGTCTTGATCATATTTTCTGGCAAGCTTTTCGCAGCATTCTTTTATTCCTTCGTATGTCATGTTTGGTAGAGCAGTAAAAAACTTGAAGTTATCATTCACCGTTTCGTAAGCAGTTTTTCTGGTTTTCAAATTGGAACAAAGTGAATCGATTATCGGATAAAAAATCTCTATTTTGAGCTTTTCATCTCCAGTAAATTGTGTATGTTCACTCTCTCCTTCAAAGCGAGTAAGTTTTACGCTTCTTCTTCGATTTCTTGGCTCAGATGTAGATTCACTTTCGCAGATATCAGTAAAGCTTTTTGCTTTTTCTAAAAACTCATCGAATTTATCCCTGATATCCAATAAATACAATTCTAAGGAATTTAAAAGACTGCATGCTATATACAAATCCATATTTTCTTTTTGTAAATTTTTAGATGTATCATTAATACGTGTCAAGATTTCGTGCCATACCACAGTTATAAAGACATTTTCAAATTTTGTAATTTGCTTTAAAATGGTCTTAGCTTCAAGTCTAGTCTCGTTAGACTGCGTATCATCCTTTGATAAATCATCTAGAGCTTTCGTAATATCTGTATGACCTGTGAAAAGAGCGATGATTGCATCAGCTCGGGCTGACCATCGAGTAGCGGATAAAGATTTAACGACTTTTTTTTCGTTCCTAAATATGACAATAGTTTTTGCCATCTATAAGTCGATCCTGATAAAAATGTGTACAAATTTTGTACGATATAGAAATACTTAACGACTGCATTAACACATTCAGCTGCCTTAACGCCGACTAAATTTAACGAGTGCCCGGCACAAGGAATATAATCAGCATACTTATTGATTTCCCTTATCCTGGTTTGCAGTCCTGAATAGCGTCCAGACATATTCGATGCGTTGTCATAAGATTGACCTCTACAGTCATTTATATCAATATCATTATCTTTAAAAAATTTGACTACAACCTCTGTTAAATATTCGGCATTATGACCTTCTATAGGAACGAACATTAAAAAACGTTCGATAGGCCCCTGATCGGTAACGTAGCGCACGGTGAACGTTAATTGATCTAGATGAGTGATGTCCGGCGTAGAATCCACAGAAAAAGAATAATATTTTGCCTTCTTCAACTCACTTATAATGCAAGCAAGAACTTTTTCCCCCATAAGGCCTATAAATTCCTCACAAATATTAGCTGATAAGTATGATGTTACTCCATGTCCTTTATTTCCGTAGGTATTAATGTGCTCTTTAAGGAAAGGGTCATATTCGCTCAGTAATTCTAAAATACCTAAGTAATTGCCATTTTGACTAGATCCGAATCGTTCGTTCTCCCCTCGAAAAGCGAGACCTCGTGAAGCAAGAAACTTTATAGTGTCAGTTATTCGACGTAATACTTGAATCCAATAATTTTTCTCATTTTTTTGTTGAATCGTTAATGCATTTTCTAAACTACCAGTTTCTCTTCTCCGTTTAGAATAAATAGTTAAAGTTTGTTTATGAGCTTTGCTTTGCTCATGCTCCGTAATTCGCTCTGGGTGTTTCCAATCATTAAATCCGTAAAATGTAAATTGATCTTTTTCAGATGAAAAAAGTCGACATACAAAGCAATATATACGTCCAGTTGATGGCGAATACGATAACCACTCACGCTCTACTATTTCATTATTTTGTAGTTTCAATTGAAATAATGATTTGTTTAGAGTTCTCACTTTTTGTTTATCTCCTTCTTGGTAAATCCGTGCAGATTTTGAGAAATCTTTATCCTTATTGCTGCATAAACCTGGATTTTTTTGCAACCAGTATAATCGTAACTTCTCGTTGATTTCGCCCCATAACGCAATATCAGTCGAATAACTTTCAATTTTTTCTGACGTGCTTCTCAATGCTGCCTCCTCTATTAAAATAAAATATATTTTTGTAAATCGCTTTTAATTGAAAAAAAATATTTAAAATTATTCAGCTTTTTTAGAATCTAAATATTTACAATTTGAAACTCTTTATTTACCTTCTGTTCTATGATTTATAAGAACTTGTGTAGCTACTGATAATTCCGACTGTTCTGAAGGATTCAAATCGACTGATTCGTTTTGAATAACATTTTCCTGTAAATCAGCGGTACCTTTTGGCGTTTCATCATTTTTGCCTAATAAATAAAATGCAATGATCTTATTATCATACTGTTAGCACGGTTTGTTTCATAAATTAATTTCATAAAAATGATATTAAATCGACTTTTCATAAAAAAACTTTTGCTACATGCGAACAACAATGAGGTTATAGGACTCAATTAATGAACTAATCACTCTTAATTCAAATAATATATAGTATTACTTACTAGTAATGTCATGTTGTTTTAAAAATCCAGTAATTTTTGGTAACTTGTCTATTTTCTTTTGTTCTTCTTTCGCTTTTCGTTTTTTTGCAGCACCACTTTCATAAACACGATTCATGATTTTGATGTACTTCAAATGATTCGATAAACAATACTAAATTAACTGTTGCTACATCGCGTGAAAATCTGGTAATGAACTAATGAACCTGCTGGCTGTTTCACGTGTCGAAACACGGACGTTGACTATTCATTTTCTCACCAAAAACAAAAGCAAGCTTAAACAAGTTTCTTTCAAAACAATCGCGCTTCTGCTTGCGCGCAAGAGCGCGCATGCGTAAGAATCCGAATGAAGATTTTGGCGCGTTAGTTTGAATATTGTAATTGAGAAAACGTTTACATGGCATTATAAACATTACATTTAATCGTTTGTTTAAAGAAATTAAAATATACGAAAATTGTAAATTGTAAGAAATTAAATGTATGCATGGCTAAAATTACGGGTATTTAAAACAAAGCAAATAAGTTAATTGTAAAGTAAAAATGAATTAAGAAATAAGTTGAAATGCCAAGTGTTCGTTTGAGAAGCCATTGAGAACTGAGGTCGATCCGGAACGACGAAATATTGTAGTCCGATCTAATACAGCGGGGACAGTTTACGGCACTTCCTCGAAGAAAAACCGATAGCCCTTGTTTATTAAACAAGATTCGGCGCAGCATCGCGCTGTAGTTATAGACTTGGTATGCAGTGGCTCGCTAACCAATGCTGTTATAGGCTATGATGTCACGGATGACGTCACTTTCATATATTTGTATATGAATAAATATAAGTATTGTTCTTTGTATAAATTATAATATATGGTTTTCATTCAATTTTATTTAAATTAGAATTGGTGGGGTATTAGTTTTTTAGATTCAAAAAAATTTATTTATTGAACTCTCATATGTGGGGTGTTAAGAGACGGGGTTACGATTTAGCCTATTGCGTTATTGTAAACTGAAAAATGATAAAGTTAAAATTTAAGGATTTTCCATCCCTTACATAGGCCCCAGCCAGTACCTTGGCCCATAGCCTCGTTGATCCTAAAGACGGCACTGTAGCTATAGATGTTGATCACGCCTACAAAACTTAAATAAAATCTTAAAATTACTTTTTATTTTAGGTACCTAAAAGGGTAGGTAAAGAGACGATGAATTTTTTTACCCCTCCATTCTATCGCATGTTGTATCGTTGAATACTTGAATAAGTCTTTCAAAAACATTGGGAGCTTGCACCAACATTCTTTTGATTCAGGGGTCCGTTTACGAAATATTTAGCTTTAAAGTGTTATTTTTCATTAGTCGTGTGCCCCCCTCTACCAACTAATTCCCTATATTTGGAAATGTGAAAAGTATACACAATAGTAGTATACATAATGAAGTTAAAAGAAAAACTATCACACCTAAGTAGAATTAACAAGTTAACGAGTAATAGTCGACCAACTTATAAAATACGCTTTGATTAGTAAAAATATCGTTACAAGTCCCAAAAATTACTTAAAACTAGTTGCATTATAACTTTATAATATTTTATACTGTAATAAGTAAACATTTCCACACCTCCTACGTATAATATCGTAACTGCACTGTATGAACTTTCCAGTACAGCAATTTTAAGATGAGTAAGTAGATTTTTGATGCTCACTTAGTCAATTTCTGTCGTTGAAGAACTAAACTCGGCATGTAGGTAGACATTTATGAACTAAATTATATTTTTAGAAAAAATATTAATAATTATTACCAGAATAGCTAAAAAAGTCACCTACGATACTTTTTTTTTTGATTTCTTTGGGAAACAAATGTCGTAGTTTATTGTAGGTAGTACTTACTATAATTTACGTTGAGTTTCATTAAACAAAAAGTATCGTATATTGTATTTGCGACAATTTACATCGATGTAAATAGAATTAAATATATTGTAATTCATAGTTACCATAATTTTCTAGGGAATAATGTCATGAAATATCGTAAATTATGGAGTACTGAAATAAAATAACCATCGTTACTAAAAAATATAATGTATTTCCATTGAGCTATTATGTACTACGTACTAGACGTGGGCGTTATTTCACGTCACTAGCAGTAACTGGCTACGCGGCATGTAACCGAATCACTAGTTTCGAGTCATGTTACAAGTAGTGATTTTTGTAAATGCGTGATTATGATTATTACTGTCGGGAGTCGGCTGTCGGTCGGTCGAGCGCAAAACGCACATGTGGCATACAACAATAAACAAAACATCGTAAGTAACAGTATTAATGTACGTTTAAATTTCATACGTAAGACTATAGACATAGACAATAAAATAGAGTAATCTCTGTTTGTAAATAATTTCAACGGTTTGCGATTCCGGGAAGCGCGTCACATTGAATTTAACTAAAATAATTTTTAAAACATTTTTGACGGAGTCATGAACTCGTTTATTCATAAAATTAAAATGAAACTAAAAAATGTGTATAAAAAAATTTAAATGTTTATAATATTATAAAACTTAAAAACTGTGTGTAAATAGCCAAACAAAGAAACAAATTAATTGTAAAGTGCAAATAAAAGTGCAAAAACAAATGATAGTGAAAACGTTGAAAAACTGCCAGCTCATGAGGTACCTTGAGGATCACCAGCTGATTAGTGACCGCCAATACGGTTTTCGCCGTGGTAGGTCAGCTGGTGATCTTCTGGTCTACCTAACTCACAGATGGGCAGAGGCAGTAGAGTCCAAGGGGGAGGCATTGGCCGTTAGTTTGGACATTGCGAAGGCCTTCGATCGGGTTTGGCACAAAGCGCTTCTTTCGAAGCTCCCTTCCTATGGGCTTCCCGAGAAATTGTGCGATTGGATCACCAGTTTTCTTGCAGATCGGAGCATCAAGGTCGTTGTAGACGGTGCAAGCTCCGATTGCAAGCTTATTAATGCTGGTGTTCCACAGGGCTGCGTGCTATCGCCAACGCTGTTTCTTCTGCATATCAATGATATGTTGCAAACCCGTAGCATTCATTGCTATGCACATGACAGCACTGGTGATGCTCTTTACACCGGCCGAGCTAATATTTCTCGGGAAAACGTCTCTGAGTGCCGGGACAAACTTGTGTCTGAAGTCGAGTCTCTGCTGGACAGAGTCTCGGATTGGGGGCGACTAAATCTAGTCCAGTTTAACCCCCAGAAGACACAAGTTTGCGCGTTAACCGCTAAAAAGAACCCCTTTGTCGTATCCCCTCAGTTTCAAGGCACTCCCCTTGTTGCCTCAGCCAGTATCGGAATCCTCGGCGTCGACATATCGAGTGACGTGCAGTTTCGTGGTCACTTGGAAGGGAAGGCCAAATTGGCCTCTAAAAAGCTTGGCGTGCTCAGCAGAGCGGGACAGTATTTCATGCCGGCACACCGCCTGCAACTTTACAAGGCCCAGGTTCGGCCGCTCATGGAATACTGTTCCCATCTCTGGGCTGGGGCTCCCCAGTACCAGCTCCTTCCACTTGACCGCATCCAGCGCAGAGCGGCTCGAATCGTCGACGACCGAGTGCTTTCCGATCGGCTCGATTCACTGGCGCTGCGAAGAGATGTTGCATCTCTTTGCGTATTTTATCGCATCTATCACGGGGAGTGCTTTGAGGAATTGTTCGGATTAATCCCAGCCGCCAAATTTCGTGAACGCACTACACGGCAAACGTCCCGATACCATCCACACCATCTGGATGCTTGGCGGTCCACCACTGTACGTTTCAAAAGGAGTTTTCTTCCGCGTACAACCTCTCTGTGGAATAATTTACCACCGGTGATTTTTCCGGACCGATACGACCTGGGGACCTTCAAGAAAAGAGCTTACTCCTTTCTAAAGGGCCGGCAACGCACCTGCGATTCCCCTGGTGTTGCGGTTGATTATGGGCGGCGGTAGTCACTTAACATCAGGTGAGCCACATGCTCGTTTGCCCCCTCTTCTATAAAAAAAAAAGTGTAAATAAACTGTAAATATCAATAATCATTGTATATACAATCAAATTGACTTGTAAATATGTCTGCATTAATAATTTTATGAAAATCTTAGTGTCATAGTAAACGCAAATCCATTTAATGCAGTCAGACCTAAACCTGAATAAAGTATGAAGGGAAGTTAATTTATTCATTTAACAGTATACAGTTACTGTACAGCTACAAACACAGATTGTGATTAAATTTATTTTCGTTTCGTGTGTAACTGTATAGTTGGTGGTGATATTTATGCAAACAATCACAGTAGCCGAATAAAAATAGCCAGTTACAAAAATCACTAGTTTTGAAATAGGTGACGCCGATCAAGTCACTGGTTTCGTTACGTTTCTTGAAAATGACGTAACGAACCACGTCTACTACGTACTATAATAATGTTACGAGCTTGAGGTTCGTGACAATAAAAATTGCCGATAAAATTACCTAAATTAACACTTTAATTTACTTTACACAATTAAAGTTAAAACACTAATAATTTAAACACACTAATTCACTTAATTCCACTCCGAAGCTTCGCTTGTGTCGCCGAGTTCACTCTGCCCCCATCGCATCTTGCAGCGCCTATATATTTAAATTAGCAAAGAAATATCCAGAATGTTCAAGTAAACACGCGGAAGGTACCGAGCGTTCGAGTTTCGACTAGGCGCTGTCAGTTGAGTGATTTGTGATGTCATTTTCTCAATGCTCCCCTCGCTCTCGTTCCTGACACTAGATGGCGCTAGTTGACTTATTCATGCAACACTGCCCCCTCCTAAGACATGCTCGTCCCGAGCATTATCGGTCCCATAATAACGCGCCAAGCGATCCACATGGACGATCTTAGGAGTCCCTCTTGCGCCTTTCTGTATCCGGTAGGTCACATCGTTGATCCTGGTTACAATCCGGTACGGGCCGTCCCATTTAGCTTGAAGCTTAGGAGATTTCCCTTTGCTGCGGACTGGATTGTGCAACCACACAAGTGAACCTTCGTCGAACCCTTTGTTGTTCATTTTGCGGTCGTACCGGGTTTTCATTTTCTCAGACATTTGCTGGCCCGATTGTCTGACGTGCTCATAAATGTCATTCATTTTGTTCCGCAAGTCATTTGCATAATCGGTTATACTGCGTGGGGCATCAGGTGGTATCCCGGTGATCAGGTCCGCAGGCAGCCGTAATTCTCTTCCAAAGTTTGCGAAAGCTGGTGTCACTGCTGTACTTTCGTGAACAGAACTTCGATATGACAACAAAAACGGTTGTATGTGCTTGTCCCAATCTCGTTGCCGATTGTCTACAACTTTTGCTAGGTACCTCTCCAATGTCTGATTAAATCGTTCCACCATTCCATCAGATTGCGGGTGATAAGAAGTCGTTCTTGTTTTATGAGTACCCATAACTCGGCAAGTTTCCTGG